TCTTTCCCTTTTCTACCCCTCGTGGGAAATCCCAAAAGTAAAGGAAAAATGACAAGAAAGAGAGAGGGAAACCGGACAGGGATTTAATGTAAAATCAGAGAGAGAGAGTGTGACATTGACAGGTTTTAGAGAGAGAAGATAGCAAGTGCCTAAGTGGGTGTGTTTTAGAAATACAGAAGAGAGAGAGAGAGAGAGAGAAAAGAGGAGAGTGGGCACTACTAGCTATAGCTAAAGGGCAAAGTCAGGCAAGTCTTATTGGATTTTTGTGGAGGCAGAAAGAGCCATTCCTCCTTCCACTTCCTCCACCAAAGTTTTCATTTTTTTTCAAGGAAAAGAAGTTCTTAGAGAGAGAAAGAGAAGGGCTTTGTGTTGTGGTGAATGTATTTTAAGCATTGTTAGAGAGAGAGAGAGAAAGAAAGCTCTTCTTTTTTTTTTCCCTCTTGCTTGGTCGGTCTTTTGAGCGTGTAAAGTCTCTTTCTTTGGTCGGTTTTTTCACAAGATGGGAAATGGGAAAGTGATGATGAGAGGTTTTGGTGTGGTTTTGTGTTGTTTGTTATGGGGTTTGAGTTTGATTTCACTCCATTGTGATGCTCGGATGATGATGTCCGCCACTTCTCGCCAGAAGCTTGAGGTTCAGAAGCATCTCAAGCGCTTGAACAAGCCTGCCGTTAAAACCATTAAGGTCTTCTCACTTTTTTTCACTTTTTTTTTCATGGTTACTTTTACTTTTTATTATTACCCTTCTGTTTGGTTTCTGGGAAAGTTGCTGGGAAATGGGGGGGATTTTTCACCTTTTGGAGTGTAAATCTTGAGAATTTGAATGTTCTATGCTGTGGAAACTTTTGGGCTTTTTATTTTTTATTTTAATTTTTTTAAATAATTTTCTGGGGAGCCGAGTGGGTGTAATGCAAATGGGTATACTCTTGTGTTTTGTTTCAACGAATTTTGGTATGAAAATCAAAATTTTGGTATTCTTGAGTTGTGTCTCTCTTCTTCAATTTTTCCTTCAAGGGGAGTAACTGAAGTAGTCCAGAAATTTGAGGGCAAAAATTAAAAGGAAACAGATAATGTCAGCTTTAATGAGAAACTGACTCATTTTCTGTCTCCATAATGTAATGCAGCCATGGTCAATTTTTTTTCTTCCTTTTGTATTCCCATTTGTTTTTTGTGTTTATTATCATGTCACAATAAAACTGCTCTAATTTAATTTTTTAAGGGTTTTTCATTAGTGATGAAGTTTATTTTTTCCCTTTCTTTTTTTGAATTTTAAAGAGCTTTTTAAGATTTCGTCACACATGTTATAAATATTATCTCCTTTTGATTTCCATGGTTAGCAGAGCCCAGATGGGGACACAATAGACTGTATTCATATCTCTCATCAGCCTGCTTTTGATCATCCTTTTCTGAAAGATCACAAGATTCAGGTTCATTTTCTTGTCCCCCATTTTTATTTTTTTAACTTTTTTTAAACGTTATTATAACTAACTTCTTATTACACTTTTGTCCTTTGTTTTGTTGCAGATGAGGCCCAGCTACCACCCAGAAGGGCTATTTGATGACAGCAAAGTGTCTGAAAAACCAAAGGAAAGGTCAAACCCAATAACCCAGCTTTGGCACATGAATGGAAAATGTCCAGAAGATACCATTCCAGTGAGGAGAACAAAGAAAGATGATATCTTGAGAGCAAGTTCAGTTAAAAGATATGGAAAGAAGAAGCACAGATCCATCCCCAAACCCAGGTCTGCAGACCCTGATCTTGTCAATGAAAGTGGTCATCAGGTAATAATGTATATGTATATGTAGTGTATTAATATAATATTTTCTCTTGGGATTTTTCTTTTTTGCTTTTCTCTTTGTTCTGATTTTTTTTTTTTGGTTGATTTGTTTATTTAGCATGCAATAGCTTATGTGCAAGGAGACAAGTACTATGGAGCAAAAGCAACCATAAATGTGTGGGAACCAAAGATACAACAGCCAAATGAGTTTAGCTTATCTCAGCTTTGGATCTTGGGGGGTTCTTTTGGTGAAGATCTAAACAGCATTGAAGCTGGTTGGCAGGTAGTTATAGTTATCATTACAAATCACTATAAGCAAGAAATGCCCAAATGTTATTTTTGGATTACAAAGAAAAAGAAACCCATCTTTAGTACTTTTTTACTTTTGATGATAACAGGTCAGCCCAGATCTATATGGTGATAACAACACAAGACTCTTCACTTACTGGACTGTAAGCCTTCTACAATTGCTTGCTTAAAAAAATATCAAAAAAAAAAAAAATCAAAGCGATATTAGCCATCATTATGTTTTTTGTCTTGTTTTATTTGTCTATTGTTGTAATTTTCTCATGAAATTTCCTTTCCTTTCCTTTCATTTTGGTACAGAGTGATGCATATCAAGCCACAGGATGCTACAATCTTCTCTGCTCAGGCTTTATTCAAATAAACAGTGAAATAGCAATGGGAGCAAGCATTTCACCAGTTTCTGGACTTCGTAATTCCCAATATGATATCAGTATTCTTGTTTGGAAGGTAAATGCCAAAGGAGGTCCCTAAAGTTAATTAATTAATTAAAGTTGGACTGTGGAGTGAAAACACCACATTTGTTTTGAGTCCAAAAAGCTGATATGGCCAAAAAAGGCATATGCCATGTGAGAATCTATTGAAAATTGCCTCTTGGATTTTAAAAATAAATAAAAATCCATACTTGGCAATATCAGTAGCAAAGCCAAATTTGCACTCTTTTATCTTTTTATTACAAGGGGATATTCTCATGTGCTAGTTTTTTAACCCAGAGGGAATCAGAAAAACATCATTGTGATTCACACGCTCACAACAGAATTGAATCTCTTGGCACATTCTTTTAATCACTGATTTTTTTTTCTTATTTCCCAAGTTCCAAACTTATAAGTAGAACATTATAGCTACATAATATTCACATGTCTTTGGATCGGATGAAATATTTGGTAAAACCTTTTACAGCCTTTTTTTTACCTGTCAAGTCTAATTATTTATTTGAGATAGGATAGTTTTAATGGAGTTTTTTCGGGTAGGATTAAAAAAAAGATATGAACTATTGTAATTTCCATACTTGCAGTCTTCAGATTTATATTAAAAATCGTTTGTTTTGCGTACCTTCTTCAATCTAATGTGATTTTAATTAGATTTAATGATTATAAAACCAGAGAAATCCCCGAGTTTTAATAAAATATTATTTGAACATTTAAATCTCTTTATCAAGTTCTATCATAATTTTTCATTTTGATGTGATTTTGACTGAATATCGGTCTCTACGTACTTCCTCCATTATTACTCTCTCATTATTTACATGGGAAACTTTTTATTTTATTGTTTGTAGGATCCAAAAGAAGGGCATTGGTGGATGCAATTTGGGAATGACTATGTGTTGGGATACTGGCCATCATTCCTGTTCTCATACTTGGCAGACAGTGCAACCATGATTGAGTGGGGAGGTGAGGTTGTGAACTCAGAGCCTGATGGTCACCACACCTCAACCCAAATGGGAAGTGGCCGTTTCCCAGAAGAAGGTTTTGGGAAGGCAAGTTATTTCAGAAACATTCAAGTTGTGGATGATTCCAACAATCTCAAGGCACCCAAAGGGATTGGGACCTTCACTGAGCAATCCAACTGCTATGATGTCCAAACTGGCAGTAATGGGGATTGGGGTCATTACTTTTACTATGGAGGTCCTGGCAGAAATTCCAATTGCGCCTGAGTAAAATTTGCCATTTTTACCTTTTACCCCCCTTTTGTATCATTCAAACCAACCAAATCATCAATCAACCTAGTGGGAATTACATTACCCCTTTCTTTGTATACCCTTTTCTTCTTCTTTTTTACCCTTAGGCTGGCTTTTAGTAAAATGTGATGATGACCTTTTATGTAGTGGGAAGTTTTGACTCTTTTTTTTTTTTAGTCTGAAAAATTCTCCATGTAAGTGAGAGGTGGGGGGAAATGGAGATATGGCCAAGTTTCTGAAATAACCTTGAGAAACAGGCCCTTTTATATATATATCTCCTTTGTATTCTATTTGTTTGTTTACTCCTCGCTCGGAGTGGCTTGTTAATGAATGAATGAACGAGTATTTGGGTCCATTCTGGTTTGCAAATTGTGGAGATTCCAAGTTCTAATTGCTTTAGAAAGTTTTGTCATCTTTGTTTTCCTGCTCTATTTTCATATTAAATCTTTGTTCAGTTGGCGTGGAAAAGCTTGACAGAGAATATGCTCTTCAAAAAGTTGTCTTGGATGAGATATGTATGTGAGTGGCTGGCAGTGCTTTACATCTCTGCGCATTCCCTTTCCCAAGTATTTATATATTTATAATTATGTCCCAAAAAAACAAATAAATAAAAGGGGCAAATTTGAAAGAAGAAAAAAAAATTAAGAGCCAGTTTGGTTTGATAGGAGGATTCGTTCTCTGATTTAAATCATGATTTATAGTTTGTTACAGTATTTTTTTCTCATAAAAAACACGTAAATTAAAAATGATTTTAATTTCATGATTTTAATCTATGAATTAAGAAAGTAAGAATCGGAACTTCCACCACCCCCAAATTACAAGCACTAAACAGATAACATGTCCCTTTTGAGATCCATTAAGGGGCTCACCCACAATTGTTAGGGACATTTTTCCAAAGCAAAGATTCCTTGAGCAAAAGGGGATTCTAAAGTGATGTGCATTTCTTGGGAGGCTTTTTTTTTTTTTTGGTTGAAAACTTAAACAAATCTGAAGTCATTTTCAACCAACTAACTAATGTTGGAAAAACATATGTTGCCACTTGGTTCAAAGCAATGGCAAGTTTGGTATGAAGAAGAGGACCAATTATATAGATTATAGACTTCACTGATACACTCATTGAAACTTAGGATTTTATTTTATTTTGCATCTCATTGGTCATTGCTTGTTGTAGTAAAGCACTTTTGAAGGCCCATTGGTGTTGAATTGCAGCCTAAATGAAATCTGCCCTCTGATGGGCTTTCTAAAATTTGTACGGAAATAGTAGAAAATATGTCGATATGAAAAGCTTAAGGAAGTATATAGGCTAATTTTTAGTTATAGAAATTAATAGGTCATAACTTGTTAAGTTATGGTTCATAATCAGATAAGTTATGGACAAACTTATCAAGTTATGGTTCATAGCCAGACAAGTTATGAATAAAAACCGTGATTTATGGACAATAACTTGTCAAGTTATGGTTCATAACCAGACAAGTTATGGACAAAAATAGTAATTTGACCTATTTATTAAATTATGTAAACTATTGGCCTATTAATTTTAATTCATATCAAATTTTAGCCTATTTTCCACTTTCTCCCAAATTTTTAATGGAAAAAGAAAAGGGAAAAAATAGACAAATATCATTTAGATTAGAGTGCAGGAGTCTTAGGAGACGTTTGGTTCATAGATTAGAATCATTTTTGATTTATGTGTATTTTTTATGAGAGAAAATACTGTAGCAAACTATGAATCATAATTCGAATCGGGGTACAAATCCCCCAACCAAACAATCCCTTAGATTTTTTACTCTTTACTCTTAATTAATATCTGTCATAAACAAGAGTAAAAATAAAAAATCGTGAACACTACACTTTTAGAGGGTAAAGTCTGTAATTCAATAAAAACAAAAAAGAAAGAAAGAAATAGATTGCTTTGTGAACCACTTTAGTACCGAAATTTTGAGCAAATTGCAAGACCAATATTAGAAACGAACATGTCTTATTAAAACATGCATCCTGTAGACTACTTTAGAACTGAAAATTGATTATGTTTCCTCATTCATTTTTTTTTTCTTTTGTTAGACTTAATTTTCCAGTTTACAATATGAATCTTTGCTTAAAAAATAATTTTTATTAAATTAAACAAGTGCAGTGTAGGTAGAAAAAGTCTTGGAAGTCAATTTTCTTTCTAAACTATATGACCATTTACAATGACATGGAAAATAATTATGTTGAGTTGCTACTGCATAAGATTTAAGATTTATAAGCATACATTAAAGATTTGAGATTTTATTCCAAAATAATTACTAAAATCTGCAAAGTTTATTTTTATTTTATTTCTTATGAAGGTTGTGAAGTTCGAAGCTTCTTAGTCCCCCTTTCTTTCTCTCTCTCTCTGCCCTTTCTTTTCAAAGTAATTAATTAATGGAATAAATCTATGAATGATTCTTGAACTCTTTTCTCTCTTTAGAATTAGTTTATAGTTAATTTTGTCTCATAAACAGTCCTTAAGTTCTAGAAATTTCTTATAAATAGACAATATGTTAAATTTTAGATGAAAATAATTAACATTGTCCCATAAAAGGTCTCCAAACTATCTTCTCTCTCTATAAATGGTCCTTGTATTAAAAATTGTACTAAATTTAATCCCTAAACTAAGAAAAAAACCAAAATTAATTCATTTGTTAAATAAATAGATGAAAAATAGTACTTATAAAAAGTTGTACTATATATAGTTCCTAAACTGAAAAGAAAAGAAATGCCAAAATTAATTTTTTTTGCTACATACATTTTTTCTTTTTTTTTATCTATTTATTCACATATGTAACTTTGATAAAGTTTTTTTTGAGCCATTATAGCTGTCCCACAATATTAATAAATATTCTAAAAATATTACTCTGAGATAATAATCTCTAAAAATATATTTTATAAACATCTTTTGTATTATACCCATTGTAATCAGGCACGAAAATACATATAAATTAGTTGGGTACGTACCCATATCGAACAATTTAAAACATGTATACATATTTAAATTAATGTCAATATTATTTTATCTTAAAACGTATATAGTTAAAAAAACAAATAATTTTATACACGCACTTTATACACACAAATCCTAAAGAGAAAACAAAATTATTTATGAGATAAAATTAATTACAAAGACTAATTCTAAAGAGAAAATAGTTCATGAACCATTCATAGAGTTATTCCTTAATTAATTAATATCTTCAACAGCCATCTCTTTTCCTACGTGCAGTCCTCAGCTTCCAGCTGACAAAGTTTAAAGTACTTTTTTTTTTCTTGCTAATATCTAGGAATTTGAAAATCACAACGGCTAATTTTTTTACTTTTTTTTTTCTTGCTAATATCTAGGAATTTGAAAATCACAACGGCTACTTTTTTGCAACTGAGCAAAAATCCCACATTCCTATGCCATGTCATGTCAAAATTGATATTAACCAAATAAAAAATAGAACCGATTTATTGCATCAAAAAACTAAACAAATAACTTGAAAATTTTAAAGAATAATTATATTTTCATTACAGCAATGATGAGCCAAGCAAAAGACACGGAGAAGTGAGCCTGTAAGGTGTATATAATTATATCAGGTATTTTCTAATGCTATCTTAAACCATCATTTGAAATGGTTGGTTTATTAATTTAAAAGATTAATTTTTAAAAAAAATTTTGAACTATGATCATTTTAACACTTTATTCACTAAAATTTTAAAAGTAACATCTGTTCATTTTAATTTTGTTCCGTTAACAAGTTTTCTCCTTCTGCTAGAATGATTGACCGAAATCGCCACGTGTCACTTATTTGGTGGTGCAAGCAGATAGGTTAAATAAGTGACACATAGTGATTTTCGTCACTCATTCTAACAGAAGGGAAAAACTTGTTAACAGAACAAAGTTCAAGAAGAACGAATGTTATTTTTTAAAATTCAGAGGGTAAAATGTTAAAATGATCATAGTTCAAGGATAATTTTTGAAATTAATCCTAATTTAAATGATTATATATTAGTTAAAAGTTTGGGGTTTATCAATATTAATAATGTTATTTCTACTCTTTTTTTATTTTATTTTACATGTCTAGTAATCATATTTTGACTTAGATCTAAAGTCAGAGGCCCAAAATCATTGCTTCTATAGAAACAAAAATAAAGACATTGCATCTGATCTTTTCCCCTCCTTCACCTTCAGTTCAGCACAGAAGATATTGTTGTTGTGTTGCAAAATTAATTTTTGTATTATTAAAGTTTATTTTTTTAGGGGAAAAAATTAGTGAAATTTCTGTTATTGGTTTGATACTTGATTTATAAAATTTGTGTATTTGATTTGTGAAATTATGCCAATCGCTTGATTTTTGTTTATGAAATCAATGTGTATTTGATTGGAAATTTATATGCTTGGATAAATATATAGGTTTAACTTTTGGATTATTTTGATGATTGTTTGCATGTTGTCAAGGTTCTAAATGGGGAGTTGGATGCAATGGTATTATCAACATATACAATGGTTTTTTTTTTTTTGTTTTGTTTTTGTTTTTGTTTTTTTTTTTTTGGCACTTAGGTCCTTAAACTTTTTAACTTTTTTGTCTTTTGGGGTTCCCAATTTTAAATCTTAATTTTTGATCCCCAAACTAACAAAAAATCTAGCTTCCTGTAAGTCCCTTTTCCTTCTATCATAAATTTAGTGCAAAATAATTATGCAATTTCTAAGATAGATATAGAAAGGAATTCATGTTGCATTATATGTTAAAGAATAGGATAAACCAAAATGAAGGAAGGGACTACTTACATTACCGGTGATGTACATTGAACTCCATGAGCAATATAAAAGTTTCATATATCATAATTGTTAGTACCGGTTTGAGTCTTTTAATATTTTATAAGATAATATAAATAATGCAAAGACGTAAAATAAAAGAACACGAGAGAAATGGTATCGAGGTTCGATCACAACCTACTCCGCAGGGCCACGCCCAGATGATGAACAATCCACTAAGAACTCTTTTACAATTCAATTGGACTTAAACTACCCGAGACTCCCTCTCTAAGAAGACACCCGTGAACTTACAATTTCCCAATGGACTTGAACAACGAGATCCCCTCAACTTTTTAACATTGGAATCCCTTCAACTAAGTTTTTCTCCCGAAAAACACTCAAATCATCTATTTGAATACAAGTGCTCACCCTTGTTCACAACCCAGCAAAAACTAATCAAAAGGCATACAAAGACTCGAGAGACTCTTTGAATAAATAAGCAAAATGTTAACAGCTTGACGACCTCTTCAATTAATTCGCTGAACCAAATCTGTTGCAGATCCTTGTTGCAACAATAACTGCAACATAGCTGTAAAGGTCAACTT